CAAAACTCAGCCGGGGCGGCCCGGACACCGCCGAGTCCCCTAGCGACACGGAACGGAACAGGTGAGGGGCGCCGCCTCACCTGCCCGCCCCGCCCCGCCCACCGCCTTCCCCGGGGCAAAGGCTTGGGCCTTCGGCAAGGTGGCTCCCCCTGGGGTACCTGGAGCCCGGGCAGCTGACGCAAACCTGTTTTCTCATAGTAATATTTGCAACTTCTGCTCTTTGGGGAACTGCTGAGAGAAAGGAAATAGCCAGAGACGTGCCTTTTTGTAAAATAGTCCCTTCTGAAAGGAAAATTTAGAACTAGGGTATCTCTTGTGCTGATCACAAGAAGGGACAATTTTTATTGAGGACACTGAATGAGGGAGGACATTTTGTACTGTGGTACTATTGAAAATGGATTTTACGCTGATGAACTTGATTTCATTTAGGTGGTGCTGCATCTCATCCCAGGTGTAGGCAGTTAGTGCAGGGCTAATGAAGCTCACTCTGCTTACTTGAGAGTTACAGCAAGGTTAAATCTGGCAATATTTAGTATTATGAGCTGAGTGGAAATAGCTGAACTGCTTCCAGATCTAATCAGTCCATGGAAATAACATAGTCTTTGGTATGGTACTGTGTAAATAATCAAATAAACCTTTTGATCTGCGTTAATTCTGTGTGGAGGAAAGCCCTAGGTGTCCACATCTGGAGATAATTCATATGTAAACTGACTCAGCCCCCCATTGATAGGTCAGATTTGGCTGTGGTTTGTTTTTCAGGAGCCCTGTATGTTTTGTCATCTGGCTTTCTCTTCTGACTGTGTAGGAGCTCTAAGCTTTCACTAGTACAGTCAAAACCAAAAAATGTTGGGATTGGTGGTTGATTTCTTTTAACATAAATTATTGCAGTGAGACACAATACAGTAATTTTCTGGAAAAATATGAATGTTTAAATCTAGGCACTCATAAATTAGGGTTAAATAGCTACTTTGGATATATTTTAGGACTTCATTGCATTAAAATAATGGAGCCAAGAAATTGCATCTTTGTCTCGTTTAACTTAAATTACTATTTGCTTGGACCTAAAGACACTATTCACTGGGCACACACAGAATAAAGAACAATTTATTATAGACTCATCAAGAGTGAGAGAAGAAAATAAAAAGATAGGTAGAGGGAGGTGAGATATTTAAGGATCACTCTTGAACAGATAATGGACTCCTAGTGTCATTCACTGTGTGGTAATAGGTCAAGCTCCTTCTCCTCTGCCTAGGTTAGACAGCTTTTCTTATGTTCTTTTCCCAAGGGAATTGGAGGATATTGAGGGACAATGTAGCCAGTAGCCTGGAGAAATCTATTTATGAATAAAGATTAAAAACTAAACATGTACAACTCAGCAAAATGATGAAGTAGAGCACTTCTTAAGTCTAATATGGCAGTACTCATTGCATTTGTATTGTAGTTTGATTGTTCTGTATGATGTGACATGCTATGTTGTCTGTGCTTATGCAGAGTAAATTTAATCTTTACCTGTAGTTCCAAGTTAATAGAATGACGTCTTCAGAGTTCTGCCAGATGCCATTACAGAAATGAAGACATCTTTTGAAGTCAGAGTTTTTTCTGTTAGAAAATTAGAATTATGGTTCATTTTGAAGCAAACTCCGCAGAAGCACCTCAGAAGGTGTTAATGCAACAAGACAGAAGTTTGGCGAACTGAAATAACATTAGGTTAAAGATGTTCACTAAAGGAACTGTAAAGGTTTTTTTTTGAAGTTTCACTAGATGAAGAGAGGTTTAAGAGTGTAAATTTTAAAATAAATCCCTTTTCTTCTTGCATTTACATTATGGTCAGGAATACCGGAAATAATAAATCTGTCCTGGTTTGACTGGAAGATATATTTGACTTCAGAACATACATGAGTCTTTTCTGGTCACAGCTGAGATGCTAGGAGGCAAAGTCAGAACTGTAATGGAAAGCTGGACTGCATGAGGAAGTTAGTATATGCACTTTGCCTGGATTTATGTCTAGTTTACTTCAGTTTAGCTTCTCATGGTTAAGGGACTGGCACATGTGAAAGATATTCACATACTACACTCACTCCTGTTTAAGGAAGGCTGATGTTACACTAATTCAATTAAATGACTTTCTGTCAGCCTCATAGACTCCTCCCGTTTACAGCTTCCTAACATTCAATCTCTCTGGGTGCCATATTCCCACTAGAGCAGTTACAGTAAAAGAGACCTCAACTTCTGTGAATTAAAAAAAGTTAGTACTTAGCCTGTTATGCATATTACTCCTAAGTGTATGCATAAGAAGAGGCTCAGCGTTTTGCAGAAAATGTTGGGAGTCCTTTTTTCCTGTTAAAAGGAAAATTGGAGTTGCAGTCTCTCACAGCATTTAAGGATCAAACGCTTACATGTCTTTATTCCATTTCTTCTTCCTGAGTTTTTCCATGTAAAAAAGATCTAATGTGGTTATATTGCCTTATTCTGTTACTCTCTGTCCACTTCTAGCACTTGTAGGAAGTTGATGCGGGTCATTGCTGTTTCGTCTGTCTGGTACGAAGCACTTTCAGTGCCACTCCGTGTACAGTGTGAATCTTTGTTTAAATAGTATTGTCCTTTTCTGGGAATATTATCACTTAATACAGTTCTAATTCTTTAAAACTAACGGAGTACCAGCTAGCAAAGCCCTCTGATACAAACAGATGGGAGCTACCACTAGGGAGCCTTGCCAGACCTGGACATCTGATGAGAAAGTTTTTCTGGGGTGAGTTCTGTCTAAATGACTGGGACAAAGTCATGCCTATCCTTCTGGGCTTAGTGGCTTGGGCTATTGAATCAAAGGTCCCCATATCATTCCCATCACAATGAACCTACCTGTCTGTCATTCTGTCACTCATGGCACCTTTCTCATAAAATTTTGAGGTTTTTCTCCAGTCCTCTCACAATTTAACTGGCTGTAGATAGTATCCAGAGTGTATTCATTCAAGAAGAGAGTGTTCTTTTGGAATGTCAAAGGCCGTTTAAAATAAGTGGTTAAAAATTACTGATTTCTTGGCCATAGTTTCCTGGGTTTAGGCAGACTCTTGGTCGTAGCTATATAAATGTGAAAAAGGATTCATTATTTTTCATATCTTTGGGCTTGAATATTCACAGTTGCATTCAGCATTCTTTATGAATTTCCATTCTATAAAGTATAAAAGTTGGTTCTTCAGTAGAAGAGTCCTACTGATACAGAAATAGCTAACCAACTGCTTTCTTAACATTTACAGGTAGTGCAAAGAAATTAAAACATGAGCCTAAAAAAAGTAACATTCATATTTATACCAGACTGAAGGATTTTTGGCAGAACTATTACCCTGCTTATTATATGAACTTCATTGTCCAATCTAAAGATAATGCCAAGTATAAATTTTGTATGTTCTTCTTAAGTACTGTCTGGTTTGACTTCAAGTTCAGAGGGTTTTTTTTGTGAGAGAGTGACTCTACTTTAATTGTCTGAATTGTTTTATAAGCCTTTTCAGGACTATTAGTGCTAATGCTTTGTTGTTTAAATTACTGTGTTGGAAGGAAGGGCAAACTGGAATATGAGTTATCCTGAGAACCTGCATTTAAATTCATCCGGGAGGTGTCAACGGTCTTTGAGTTCTGTATACTAATTCTAACATATTTTATGATGAATGCATATTATGGGTGAGATAAAAATGTTTTTTTTTGCTGTGTGTGTATTAGGTTTTTTGTCTTCTGAAAATAAATGTCATGTTTGATGGCATTACAATAGATAGCGTATTGCTACCACAGTGCTGTTTGGGTTATCTTGACACATTTATAATCAAAAGGCATGCTATGCTTGAATGCATTGGCTTAAGGTTGTATTTGTGAAAGACAGAAATGTGTGGATTGTAGTTCTTTTCATTCTGCTTAAAAGCATATACAAACAGTAACTGTTCTGTTTCTGAAGAAAATATCTCTATCAGTACACATTTGTAGCATTATTATTTTAGATATGATAGGACTGTAATATAACAATGTGCATATCAAATCTTGATACTGATACTGGTTTATAAGGCTTTGGGGGGGGCATTGTTGTTTTAAGAAGAGCAAAATTTACATGGTTTTCACTTCTGACCTATGGGGAGCAGGTATCCATGGGAGTTGGCAAAATGGGAGAAATCGGATAAACATCCTCTGAATATTTCTGTTTGTTTGGGTTTTTTTCTCATGTCAGTAAAAGCTGGCAGAAAGCTCTAATAAATCAACCTACTTTGGATCCCTGATTTAACTTAGTTTTAAGGTTGCAAGATTTATGAATCTTTTGTATTTTTCTGAAAACCTGCTTATGCCATTGAAGTAGTTGTATTTCTGCTGTTTTTTTCTCTTCACTAGAAATGTTGAACACTTTGGAGAATTGGGTGACAGAATTTTTTTCACAGATTCCGAGTAAGTCAGGTTCTTTTCTGATATTTTCCATGTCTGTAAGTTGTGAAACTATGTTCTAAACATGCAGAATTTTATGCATTTGCTTTTCCTTGTATCTACAGAGGCTTTAATTCTTATTGATTCCTTATCGAGGAAACTACTTTCACTGACTGAATTAAGACAATATAATCTTTGGGAATTAATAAATTCATAAAATATTTCTTTAAAATGTATTTGATAGCATTTAATATGTTCCATGGTGTGGATCTTGACTTTGCACGTAGATCCCTGTTATACCTGTGTTACTTCTTTAGTTGCTGGGAAGAGAATTATATTCTAGTTTCGAAGAATGTTGATTTCTATGCCTCTGCATTGTGTGAAGGATAATTAGTATCAAAATATAGCTGAGTCGGCAGTCCGTTGCATCCGTTAGAGACAAACTGTCTGTGGGTTTCTATGTTAATACTAAGCTATGCATTGTAATATACTATTTAGAAAAGACATCCTGTTTTGTATCTTGAAATTGCGATATGGGTAAGTTTTATCTACTTGGTTAAAAATACAGCTCTGTAAGAAGTAACATCTGCTGTTTTGGTGCCAAGTAAAATGACCTTATTACTCTCTGAGGTAAGGTTTTCCCTGCTGTGCTATGCTGCTGTTACCAGCTATTGACTGAAAGACATTCTTTGAAAACGCACATCCTTCCTTACGAGACAATACTCACTGGAGATGACTAAGTAAACAAAAATGCGGTGTATTGACATCCGTATTAGAAGAAAAAAATCCTAAGCCTAGCATAGACTCAGATATGTAAATGAGTGTCTGAAAAGGAGGAAGATTAATGGAAATTAATAGAAAACAGGACTGATAGGGACTGTCATAGTTGCCATGTTCATCCCCCTGTCCTCAGACGAGATCAGCTCTGTCTCTTATGTGAATCTTTTTATGAATTTTAATGAAGCTTATTGATTTTGATTCTCTACTTTTTCTGTAGATTGTTTTTGTGGCAAATGCAAGTTTATCATGTAATTTACTTTCTCATTTGAAAAGTCAGCCCCCATATGAATCTGTTTGGTTCTAACCTGTTTGGTTTGGCAATGCTAGAAGTTGGTGCGTAGTCCGGTGTATTACAACTGCCAGCCTTGAAGAGTAACAGGGGTGCGGTACAGAGGAATCCACCTCATTATAGTTTATTTCCACAAATAATTTAAAAAAATAAATATTACTTATTTAATTTTTTTTTCATGGTAGACCTGTGGCTTCAACTTACACAAAATATTATTTGCTTTTATTTAAAAATAGATGTGTGTTAATTCTCACTTCAAAATTTTACACAGATATTTATGAGGGCTGACATGGGGAAGCTTGTCTCCAGTGGTTTCTTCTGAGATGCATAAAGAATCTGGCACATCTTGACTGAAGTTAGCCTTGTGAATTGTCCTCTAAGTAGTTCCCCCAAAATGTTGGTATTATGTAAGAAAGAAGGTCTTGTATGTCACTGCATGTTTCAAGCTCTTCATTTAGAAATTAGCCAAGTGCTGTATTCTATTCATGTATTTCTGTGGAAGCTGATTTTGTTCAAACAATTCTGCCGAACTGTTTGAAGGTTCCCCAAGTGGCAGGGAGCAAAGGTATTTATTTAACCTTTAGCCCATGACCTTCCTATAGGGGCGGGTTATGCCTACAAAAGGGCTCTATGTCTGTGGAAATAGTCAAAGGAGTGTTGAACATTTTACCTTTTTAATTGGAATGTCCAGGTTCCGGTCAATGTCACTTGAAAGGACAGTTGCGTTGAGCTGCTCAGGATGATACTTCAGACCTGGGCTACTAAGCAACTTTTGCTTGCTTCCATGTGGCCTTGCTTTGTCTTTGATAAACATTGTGCTATTTTTTTTCTTTTATTTGAAGTAGTTTACCAAATCCAAGTTTCGATCATCTGAGAGAGCCTGTTGACACACCAGAATTTCCCAAACTTGACAGACGTGAGAGACCTGGGGCAGTGCATAGACAACAGAAACTTTTAAATTTTACCTTTGGAGACTTGCTTATGCTGCTCTGAATGGACCTCATATTCTCTGTTACACTTTGACAAGAAGCTGAATTGAATTTTATTTCTTTCTAACATTTTAACTTGTGTTTCTGCATACTTTTAAATTGTATTCGCATTTCATTTTTTTCTTATGCTTGTCATCTTCTCTAAACAACTTACTTAGGTTCTTCCAACATCTTTGATTCCAATATTTAGTTCTTTGCTTTTCCCTTATTCTATAAAGAAGGAAACTAGTCTAGTAGACCAGGAGATCCAAACGTAAGGCTTAATTAGCAGAACGGTAGAGACCTCTGGCATGTCCTCTCTTCTCACAGAAAACTGCCAGGCCTTACGTGTCCCCTGCACGCGTCAGATTTTCCAATCTCTACGTCCATTTGAAAACTTATGTCAAGAGAAATACATTGCTTTCCCTTTACATAGGTAATTGTACCTTCGTGCAGTCTTTGATCTGGTGGATGCAAAAGTATCATCCATTTCCTGTGCAATCCTTATTTGTAAAGCCTTTGTATAATTTCTAGGGATCCCTAGTAAGCAGCAGACAAACCCTCAACTTTCAAGACAGCCCTTGCAGATAGACTTTATGTGCAGGTGATGTGCTGAATTCATTCAGGGTTGCCATGGCAACCCTTTTCTTCTTTATCCAGAAAAAGACTGCTTTATCAGTAAACGTACCCTTTCACAGTACCCTGTGACTTTTGTTCAGGGGTCTCATAGCTGTTAGAAGCAAGAGATAGGTGGGCCCTGAAATTAGCAGTGTCATAGGCCCCCTTGTGCATCTTTGCTCACCGATACTCTTTATCCTTCATCTGTAAGTGTAACCAGTATTTATACCCTCCACCTTCTCTACTTTTTTTTTGGCAGAAGACTGTCCCTTCTATACTGCATGGGGGCATATAATTTCAGATTCTGGGTTTTGAGCACTGTTATTTTATAGATAGGCAATACAATTCTGTTCTGCTGTTCTCCTGTCCACTTTCCCTGATCTCAAAGAGTTCTTGGTCATCTTTTCCAAGAGTCTTATTTTGTTGTGCATAACTCCGCTCCTGCCCCTAATAGCCATCAGATTGGTTCTGTTTCATGTTACTGGCAATTTTGCAGTGATAGAAAATAGGAGGATTGAAACCCAAACCAAGATGAAAATGATGATACTGACTGTAACAAACTAATCCCTTTCCAGAAGTGAGGGAATTACTTCTCTGTGTGTAAATCTCATAACAAAGTGGTTTGACTCTCAGAAAATTATTCTTGATTTCTAGTCAGTCAGGATTACTCTGACTATAAGTGTATCCCGCTAAAGTGTGGGGATGGTGCATAAGCAGTACCTTATTGACAATGGTTTAAGAGAATGGTGGATGGCAGCTTAATGAATTAATGTATGTATTTTTATATATTGCCACATACGCAAATGCATATGCATATGTTTTTTTCTACATCAAATGAAATATCTTGCTCGCAGACGGCTCTTGGGTTTAAAAGGATTGGAAGTAATAACACATTTCTATTTTCAATGAATAAACCTATTTTGCAGTTATTCCCGTCAGCAACATCCATCTGTTGAACATTACTTGGGCACTGCCCCCACAAGAGAAAAATTACAGGTAAAATGATGTTTAGACTATCATTACATTAATGATGTAATTATCATTAGTTTACATTATATTTTGATTTCATGCTGTTTATAAAACAGTTTGTGTAGAGAATCCAATAAATGATCAAGACCTCATCTCCTCGTAATACCACAGAAAAGGATAATTTCAGGAAATATATTTTGTGCTTCTGGTTCTTTGAGAATAGCATACAGAATGGTATCAGTATTAGGTATAATAATCTCAATGTTGACATAATAGATATAATATCCCATAAACATATCTCACTTTTAATGATCTTCATTGTACAGGCCATGAACTGATACTTGTGTGTTGTAGGATCCTGAGGAGATACAGGGCTGGTTTGGATGGCCAGTCATACCCCAGCCTTCACTGGTTTTGGCCTCTGGGCCCCTAGCCCAAATATCCACTCCTATTTCAGCACCAGCCTTTGTGGCTTGCTGGCCTCTGTGGTCTTTGACCCAACTTTGAGGGTGATGTTACAGATCTCTGATGGTACCCCACAGAAGCTCCTGTGATGGGGTTAGGAAAGGTGTGCATGTTTTCTCCTTTATGGTGACACAAAACTCTGATTTAGGAAGAACAAAAAAGCTTAAATGCTTGCCCAATCACTTTGCATCCTGCAATGGAGTAAGAAAGGTCAGGCAATAACTTATGTTCAAAAAGACTTCAGTAGAATGGATTTGGTTTATTTAATAGTAAAGAAAAGGTCATGTCTTTTGTTCTTTTATTCTCACATAAATTGATTTTGTAAAGTTGAAGTTGGTTTATCACTGTTTGTGTTCTATGGCTTTGTTATTTCAGTACTGGAGAAAAGGTCATCTTCTTAGTGGGTACCTGATATTCCATGGTCCATTAAAATGGCATTATTTCTGCTGAAGCCAAAGTGGTTTTTCTTCCTTGCATTTTTTTCTCACATTTTTTTCTCTTTTTTTCCCCCTAACTTCACCTGTCCCAAGTCAACCCAGCTCCAAGGGGGTACTTTGTCATGCAGTCTAGTATATCAGAGGTGCCTGCATATGATTATATCTTTGTTTTATTTGGGTTATAGAAACTGGAATGTCTTGGCTGTGCTAGCCTGATACATTGATTTTTTTCATGTTTTGTTCACTGTGCAAGAGCTTGAAGAGATTCCCACTCTAGTATCTTTCCTTAGGGGAGTGAATTGCATTATCTGTCTCAAGATGAAGTGTCAGTAGAAGACAGTGACCGAGTATTGGTATTCTTATTGTTTCATTGACCTCTAACTTCTCAACATGAAGCTGCTCCAAGAACTGAAAGCCTTTCTAACAACTCCATCTATTTCCTCTTTTTTCTTTTTAATACCACCCCCCCTCCCCGATATCTAGTAGAGATCTAACTAAGAAAATACGAGGGCATCTCAGGACTGAAAGCATCTGGGAGGAGGAAACCAGTTTGGGGGTCGCAAGACTGGTAGTAGTTAAACCAAACCAAAAAAGTCAGAAACCCCAACCCAAAACCTTGCGACCCTTCTGTCTCCTCAAACCTTCATATTTTCTCCGTATACTCAGAAAATACTAGCTGGAATCACAGAGACACAATACAAAATAAAACTATATTACCATTATTAGTATAATGATATTCTGTGGCATGACACTTTAGTTCTTACTAGTAAGCTTTTTGATGTAGCATTTATGTACTGTAAGAGGTTTTTTTGTTATTGTTTTAAGAGGCCTTTTTATTGCTTTTGACATAGAGGGGTAATACTAGCATCTATAAAGATAATGGAAACAGATAAAGACATTATGCCAAACTTGAGCAATGTAAAAACTGAGTAAACATTAAATCTTTTTTCACCAGAAGGGTGGCTTTTTCTGTTCTTAATGCAAAGTGACTACAATTCCAAGTTCTCTTTAGTTTTCAACGTAGTTCAAAGTACGCAAGTTGGTGAAACAACACAACAGTCTAGAGGGAAAGTATCTGCATACTCGAATGGAAGCTGGCAGTCTGCAGTTCCCTTCCCCTTCCCCTTCCCTTTCCTTTCCTTTTCTCTCCCCCCCTTCCTCCCCCTCCCCTCAGCTTAATGTACATTTCCACCTGATTTCTTCACAGGTCTGTAGAGAGGTAAGAGTATCTCTCTGTAATC